CGACAAATTTATTAATTGGCAGAGATTTATTTAGGGGGCTAGAGGGGGCGATTACCTCAATTTTTACATAGCAATGTTTGAATTCTTTTAGTGGCGCATAAAAAAGTTATTAAAAGTATTGTGGGGGTAGCAATATATTGGGACCAAATCGGATGTTTTAATTTAGCCATATCTAAGTTCTACAAACTCATAATTCAGCCAATAACAAAAACAATAAATTTTATTATCATTATTTTTGTTTATAAATGATTACAATTATAAATTAGGAAGTCGTAATTCAGGTAACAAGATAATTGGTGTTTATTTTATCAAATTCTACGTCAAAAATATACTTACCGTTTATTTATTATCATTGTATGATTATTGTTTTTATGGAGTGATAAGTAAAATTTTACACAGAAAAAAATACAGCCAGAATAACCATATAAACGATTAATATAGTGACAATTGCAATTAAGACAGTTGGATTAACTGTGTATTCGGTTAGCCCTATTTTTTATTTAATTATTCCAATAGTTTTTATTAGAATTGCCACTATATTAACTGTTCATTTTTTCCGCGTATCCGTGTAAATCTCTCGGTGGGTTATGACATCGATTATTTATGCCAGAATGACCTTTCGTTATGTTTTTTTGAGTGTGCATAATTTAAAATTACTTCTTAGTTTTAACTTGTATGGTTACATAAAAATTATATTGTTTATTTTACATCGCTTTATCATTTAAAATAAAATCAATAATTGTAGAAACTTAAACACAATAAATGAACAAAGTGTGTGTTAAATTAATTTTGTATATAAATGTAATTAATATGCAAGAGATATAATTATAGCTAGATCTTTGACAGTGTTTTGTAAACAAATGATGTTAGTTTATATGTATTGTGTGCGATATAATGAGTTATCAATACTCTGTTGATGGAAATTTACGAAAGGGCGATCAATTTTCGTAAATTAATTTTTTGTCTATGAACAATGCACTTCTTTTTCGTTCTTTCAATCAACAATTGAGCTTAAATTTGTGACATATGGTCATCATTGTCTTTCTGGTAAAATAATACTTTCACAGGATAGATAGTATAGGTTTTATGTTGTATTTTTTCCCAAAATAGCTAACACAATGTGATTGCTCTAGATATTTGAACTGTGTTCAGATATCGCTGAAGAAAATAAGAAACACCTAACCCTCCTTTCACAATACAAATGGTCCTTTGTACGAGTACATGATGTCTCAGTTTTAAAAAGGGTCTTGAAGTTTGTCTCTCAATATATTGTGTTGTCCCGTCGGTCACGAAACAGGATATACAAAAAACCTTAAAGCATATGTCTCATCGTCTCAGATTTCAGTTCATTTGCTGTTTACAAAATCAGTGTATTCCTATTCGCAATAACGGTGTGCTTGTTCAATAAATTCAATATGGTCCGACCGGGTTATATGCCCAAGGTTTTATAAGTAACATACTATTATAACTATTTTTAGGCGATTTAATCGTTATGTATCACGCCAATGTTGATTATTGTGTTTGTCGAACGTAAGAAGTAGTAATAGGTGGATACATCACTAGGCACTTTTACGTATGAATATAAACAATAATTAAGTTTATAATATGCTCTAAGCTGGAGGTTATGCGAAAAGTATAGCGTAAGGATACGTGTGGTCTTTCGTTGGCAACATTTATAACTAACTGGTTTGGTGTGTGAGGAGGACCTCTATCGGAAACGGAATCTATTTTATAGGAGCACAACATGGCAATATTGTCTCGGGATGAAAAACATTACTTTGTTTGCCCGAACATAAATATTGCGTCCGATGGTCTTAGCACATCACTATTATTCTTGTTAAAAAAATTTGATACTGAATTTAGTAAATTAAATTATTAAATTTACCTGAAATGGGCTATACATTTTAACTGACAAAAATAGCACTTCCTGATATGGAGTATTGTTTGTTATTGGGCATATTTTCAACTCAAATTAAAAATTTGTATTAATTTATTCATATATAACCTTAATATGTTTTCTATAAGCACATTATACGAAAAACGAGATTTTGGTATTTTCATGATTATAACAGTTTAAAGTATATCCTAATGGTTATAGATTTAAACGCCTCCTGAAAAATACGGCTATTTAACTTTGCTATGATTTCAAGTAAGCCGTGGAATTAGCAAAGGGTTATTCCTGTGTACAAACGTGATAATAACCTGACAACCGGTTATAAGTGAAAACAGCCGACAAACGAAAGACCGACGTGCTTAATAATATGTTGTAACACATATATAAAATATAATTGTATCTGAATAATCGTTAAGGAAATATGCTTAAGGAATATACAGTATGATTCGTGACAATCAAAGGGCTGACGAACAGTAGCTGTCGAATTAAAAATGTTTAATTCGAAAAATCGTATATTTTTATGAATAGGGTACTCTGAATTTTTATGATTTTTTCGTTTATGTTTAATACGAACTGCGTTCACTTGATATCGCCATACTAGTATCATGTTGTAAACATTGACATCGAATTCGACTAAAAGGTTTTTTTAATAATTTATGTATTTTTGTTGATTTCTGTTTATATCTTCAAAATGATTCAATAAAACGCTCCGTGTTAAGATTTACTTTTTTTACAGTCGTTCGTGTCAATTAGTTTAAGTAACCACACATTAAAAAACTATAAAAAATATACATACTAATAATAACTGTTGAAGAATTTCCTCAATAATAATTTTAATTCGTTATTAGTGAGGTATACTTGATGGACCGCGAGGTGATAGAAAATTATGTGATAGCGACCGCTAGTTCTAATTGGCACATTATGAGAAATAAAAACGGCGGAAATGCCAAAGCATTGGATACACTTCGGTTACACGTCCAGACAACAATTTTGTTCAATTGTTTTACTATTATTATGGTTTTTTACAATGTAATTTCAAAAGGAAGTGAACAGTTAAACGCAGTGTTCACGTTAAAAAAATAACTTAACCATTGGTCCGGGTTTCCATGGACGTAATTGAAACTGAACGGTCTTAATTTTTGTTAGAGCCACCTGTACTTCGGGTCTTATTAAGTCTCAGAGTAGTGATCATACACATTTATCATCTAAAAATACATCGTTGGGATTATAAACATAGAAGTTGTAATCAACACATTTTTTGTTATTATTTTGTGCTCGAGGCAAGTGTAGGCGATCTGCGTTCTCATTGTGTACCCGCGCTTTTACCCAAGGTGTTTAATAGGTATTTTGGATGTAAAAAAATGCAGCCTTAGCTTATTATGACTTCGTCAACGTCATCTAGTCTTTGTTTACATAATGCATCGTAAAATAATGAAAATACGTTTCCTTTGATGGTGTCTCTAAAAGTTAATGAATAAAAAAAAGGGAGAGTCATCAAAAGCTGAACACATCTCTTTTCTTTTATCTGTGCTTTGTATTTCTTCTCCTCCGCTTTCGTTTGTGCAATGCACCCGATGGTCATAAAGCGCACAGCAATGCGTAGATCTAACGGTTTTGATATTATACATCCATCAAGATTCCGTTTCTGCCCGTCCGCTGCAGTATACGTAGTTTTTTTTCACAATAGACTAGCAAAGTTATATCGAATTAATCATGTCCGAGAGATATTCTGTTTTATTCGTTTCTCCCGAAGCGAAAGCCTCGCCGCCTGGTTGCAGTACGTGTTAGTAATATAATCGTTCTAGATCTTTCTATGCATATGATGTTAACTCTACTTTGATATCTCGGCCAATCGTTGTTCATTGAAAATGCGCATAAACTATAAACATGTAAACCATGTTTTTTAGTAGAAATTAATTATTATTACTATAAGATCACTAATGTTTAATGCCGTAAATCAATACTGCCAATGATGAAAAAAATCGTGATGGGATGAACTGTAATACCCATTTTAGAATATCGGACACGTTTCTAATGTTTTCCGTGACAAAATAATAATCACTGATATTAAGTATAGATTATATGACCTAAGAACTTTTGGTCATGCGAAATCGGTTATTTCGAATTAAAATTGTAATTGAAATTAGTTTGAAAATGGAGAACGTCTTTAACGATTGAAAGTATGAATATTATTTTATTGTTCTCTGTTACCTTATTAGAGGAAAATAGATTTAGACAATGCGGTTTATCAGAACAAATATCAGTTTTTTATACTCTTTTATAAATGTAGGCCCCGAAGCGCTTAAAGGGCACTGACTGTTCACTTCTTGATCATATGGATTGCGCGTTAAATATTGCAAACAGAATACCAGAGAACTATTAATGTGATTAATGTGACACATTTTATATTTTAAAATTTTATTGGAAAATAAACCTAGTGGCTTATAAAAAATAGTTATTTACAACACATTACGATAATTTATTACACGTGACATACTTTTATAGGTCATATATCCAGCCGGAGTATATTTTTTTTAGTTTTTGAAGAAAAATTTATTTATTTGTCAACAAATTAAAATGAAATGCCTTCATTCTTTTTCGCTGGGAAAAGGAATCGTAGCGGACATGCTCATAGAATTAATTGTACTCGGAAAAGACTCCGGGAGGACGTATATTAACCCTTTCAATTGAATTGTGAGTGTATTGCTACATACGTACCACCAACTGATGACCCTTGAATAGGTTAATGGGTTTTGGTTCAATAAACGTCCAACTATGGCGTATTAAAAGTGTAGTTGAGGTTAACGTACTATATGCGTTCCCATAAACGAATCCGAAAACAACAATTTTCCGTTTCGGTTCTAGTAAAAAATATTTAAATTTCTCTATGACGCACGCACCCATCAATTATTGTCGTACCACGTCTTGATCGATCAGCCAGTTTATTTTCGGCTGTGGACACACCATAATGATTTGTAGGGCAATAATCATAATATATACATAACATGCTGACGAAGAAAGTTACCTTTTTATTGTAAAATACATTTTTTATCTCGATACCTATGAATATTTAAACTTTATGGACATGATTCTCTTTTTGTTATAGAACTGTCGGTTATGAGGATTGAAGATGGATAGCGGCAACGAGACCCTTTTCTCGGAGGACTCATCGCCGGATTCGGCAGCGCCGCCACCTTCACCAAGCAGTGGCCGTGGAAGTCAACAGCCCACGCCCGCGCCTACACCACCTCACATCACATCGTCCTTGTCCAAGGTTAGCATATCTACAAATCTTCCTAAAATAAACGGCAAACCTTTTTTACTTTAAGGAACCCTAAGCCATGCTGTGATTATTAGAAAGAAAGCGTTGAACGCGGGTACTCGTCCAACCCTTGTTTTTTTTCATGTAAACAACAACATAAAAATTCTTTTAGGTCTGGAAAATTAGGCTATGCGTTTTTTATTTACACAATATACACTTGCAGCGTGTCGATGTTGGTAAGAGTTGAAGACATTATAATATACAGTTATTACAAACATTATTATTATAAACACATTATGATCTTCACTTTGTAATATAAACAAGCATAAGTTAAACGCATTTTTGATTAGATCTTTATTAACAATCCTCAATTTAAACAAAAAAACATGACAGCTCAAACAAATATACAACTGGTAAACTATACATTTTAACATTACATATTTTGTAATGACCATTTCTTAACTCTAAGTATCTGAGAATCTAAAAATGCTTAAAATTAAAAACAACTTAAAATTACATGAGTTTATGTTGTTGTTTTAAATAGCAATTGTTGGTTTGAACACATTTAGACTCATATTAAGAGACTATTATAAGAGTCTTATTACTCTATTTTTGGTTTTTTGTAGAAAAAAATATTGATTTAACAAATTTTTTTGACATTATTCGATAAATTTACTACTCTGGTTATGAAATAAAGTAAATTAAAAAATTATTTTCATTATGAATTTTCTTTTAACTAACAGGCGGCGAGATAAACATGATTGATAAAAAACAATCATCAGATTTATTTTTTAAATATTTAGTTATTTACATTTCAGAATAAAAAATTAAAGGTTACTTTCTGTTTATATAATATCATAACTATTTGATAAATAATTTTTTAAATAAATGTTATGTAATTCAGACTAGTAGATCATTTATATCTTAACATTCATCGTTATATTAAGCAATTAAAGAAACAATTTCGTAGGTATTATTCCTTAGTAGTATTTAATCTATTGATACATGCTGCGAAGAAAAGTGTTTTTAATCGTTATTCCCTTTTGCAAAGTGCGCACCAGACTATGAGCGCATAGTATTTTATTAATATGACCTTATCAAATAAAAGATGAAAAAATAATAAGAAATAAAAAATTATTTTCTATTTTTTATAAATACCAAGGCACGTTTAAACTTTAACCAACGTATATTTATATTTTATGGTTAATATGTTGAATATTTATAGCATATTTCATTATTGAGAATAGAAGTACTTTCTTTGAAATATATAAACTTAACAGACGATATTTACACGCACTTATTATACTTGGTTATCATTATCCTTGTAACATAATTAATATAATGAAAACTCATTTATTTTAAAAACTGTTTACTACCGTATTCTATACTTGGAGTTCAATTTAAACCAATTGAACGCGTCGAAGTGAGCTCATTCATTAAATATTAAAGTGTAATAATTAAGTTAACTATTTTTTTTTTTTATATTAAGTATTTTTATTTTAATACAACATTTGAAGACTGGGAAAAAATAACGTATTACGTAACAATTTATACATTTTATAATATTAAAACAAAACAATATAAGTGTCTTAATTAATTGAACGAGTGTCGGATCCAATGTTCATACAGTTACCTATCAAATCAATTTTTTAAATTTTACAATGTATACTGTTTTACCTTTAAAAATTCTACTTGATAAGTCGTTCATAAATGGTGATTTTGAATTTTATGATATTATTTGGTAAATAAATATTAAAAATATGTAAAAACTAACATCTTTCATTTTTAAATAACATTAGAGACTAAAACAATGAGTAATCAACAAAGTGGATAAATTATCGTGTACCTCAAACATGTCTATCCAGAATAATATTAACATGAGGCCGCGGGGTAAGTAGATCATTGTAAACATAGTTAAGACCGATGAAGTCTATGTCGTGCACTAGAATAATCAACTCATATACGTAGATTTTTAAAACTTTCTTTTTGATTTTTCCTTAAGCAAATCGACTATGTAGTGTTTTAATATTATTAAATAAAGAGTTAATAATAAACTTAAAAAAAATGTTTATAATGAACACCATTTTGATATATTCAAATATTATCAAATCAATGTTTTTTTATGTATTTATTTAAAAATTATTTAGCGCTTCAGTATTTTTATGTAAAATATATATTTGTATTTTTATATGTTTTGATTTTTTTACTTATTATTGAAATCTAATTAATACTGTTTCTTAAAATAAAATTGCAAACAAGGTATGGAAAAAAATAACTCTAGTTCCGTGTTTTAGCTAGTGTTTTGTATTATATATATATATATATAAAAATATTATTATTATTATTTATGAAATCCTCTCTCGCGTAGTGCGCGTGCATATTATCATCTGGCCAAGACCGTGGGAATACTATAAGCGTTATAACCGAACGCCCACAGAGACGACTGGTTTTTTCTTCTTTCCTTTGTGCCTCTTCTTCCTAGTGACTTATGTGAGTGCTCCCGCCGCGGTACAATGTCGTCACTGCAGCCGAATCGTTGTTATCATCGCCAATTGTACACACGGCCGAAACCCACGTGGGTGTTCGCGACCCAGTGTCATAAAATAAATAAATATAAAAAACTGCTTACTGCACACACGAAATTATTTGTTTTACCACCTCGTAAGCACGTTTTGGAAATATCTTTTAATGGACGTAACGTGCTTGCGTCGTACATTCATATTTTCTCTACACTAGTTAAGAGCGCCTTGCTGAAATTGGCGTATAGTATTTTTTTTTTTGCAATTTTTCATGACCTATTTAACAATATTCATCAGTAAAACATTTCTGAGCACGACATTTGTATAACAACTCGGTTTACCGATTAGTTGATAAATCAATGCGAGTACCAAGTCATTGACCATAAACGGATAGTTCAATTTAAAAAGTTCAAATTTCCCGTATGGACAGATATACAGATATGAACAATGACACTAAATTATTTGATCATGTGGTTTTAACATATATTTATATTTAATTTTTATAAAGTCAGTTTAGATTGTATGCAAAACTTATTATTCGTGTACTTATTTCACAACAATAATTACATTAGTAACAACATACGAGTGTCCAGTAAATTTTGCATGTTCAGGAAAAGCTATAACGCAAGTAGTAATATTATTTTTATACCTATTTCATTAATACATGAAATGAATAAATTGTTATTTATACTCGCCGACTGTGTTATTTTACATCAATAATTCTTAATTAGCTATGAGCCACAAGGTTTATAATGTATGTCCTGTTGTGTTCATCTCGCTGAGGATAGTCTATACTTAAACATACTTAGTGGTACATTAATGATTGGCTTTCGTCGCAGGTAAATGAACGTCTAAAGAATAATCATTAATCGTTTATCAATATTCCACTTCAGCAAACATCATAGCTGATTTGATATTTCATTAATAGCCTAAAATTCGTGATTAGGTTAGAATAAAATTATTTTAATTACTTTCAGTATAGGTCGACTTTATAATCACTTCTTAACTTTATCTTGTATGTTATAATATTTAATTATAAAATGATAATAGGTAATTATAATGCACGATCATTGTATTTTTTATCAAAACGTTGATAAAATATAATCAAACGGTGAAATAACTTCACAACTTATTTATTGTTCCGAAAAAAAACTGTCCATTCATCCTGACCTAACAAATTATACTTTTGGTAATACTCTTTACGTTATTAAAATAATGGAACACAATGAATAACCTTTGAACCTTTTAAATGATAATGAGGAAAGAGAAAGTGTAACTCATTATTTTTTATTCAGTTTGAAAACCAGAAGCGGTCGCATCATGTGTACCGTGTGGACGCTATCCAAGAATGTATTACGATGAGTACCTCATAAATAATAGTATTTAGGTATCTTGGTTCTTGTTTGTATTATTTTTATTTTTATGTATTATGTATATTGATTTACATGTTTTTTAATGGGAACGAGCTTTTCATTCTTGACTACCTTTTAATAGGTACACAAAATATACTAACAGTTAATAAAGTATATTAACATTACTCTTATTGAATAATACATCTATAGACCATTCCTGATTAACTATACATTCTGTGTATGCAGATATAATGATCTCTTATGGAGTTGAAAATAAAAAGTATATTCTTACAGTAATCATGTGATATAATTATGGCATCATGCACGTTTTTTGATAAGAATAACAAATAATTTTGTGATCCAGTAAAACAATGATTTCTGTCATGTATTCTTTACCTTTACATACGTTTTAAAAACTTAATATTGAGAATTGTAAAAACTTCACGTATTAATCGCAAAATATACTGCTGATACATTGTAGTCAATCGACGCCCTCCGGCATGACAGTTGTATGTGAGCGCTGGGCTTAATAAAACATCTACCAGATCTTGACTGAAATTACAACCTTAGCGTAAGCCTCAGGGCGTCATCTCGTACAACTGTTGTGTAGACACAGTTATGTATTTTGTTCTATGTAAAATTTTTTTAGAGTTCAATTATTATTATTATATATATAAAAGTGTTAAGATGATAAAACCGGAACTTGATTTGAAGGCGGTATTCCGCACGCGCTCCTCTATAACTCATTAATTTTAATTTTTCCGAGCTTTATGTCGTATATCAGATACAGTTTTGTATATATCAATGACTTGATGCATGAAATGGGATTAATACTGCAAACTGAAACCTGAAGATCAACATTTTAAACTCCCGAGGTTTACTGAAAAAAACGTTTTACGTTTAAAGTTATACAATTTTTACTTTTTATTTGGAAACGTAACTTTAAGTTTTCTAAATAAAAAATTTAATGTAATTTTCAGTAGTACAAAAAAAGGGATGAAGATGTTTTTTTTTTCAAATATTCCATTTTGGTTACCATAAAATCTATAGGATCAGTTATAAAACCAATTTTTAAATGACATTCTATGATAATGGACTATAGTTCAGTGACATAGAATTATTGTTTGGATCTGTGTGGGCCATAACAGGCCTGGTATGTTAACATTTACTCGGCGGCAAACCTACACAATTTGATCGAATACCATAGCAGTATTAAAATACGCAACTGTAGTCTGNGATAATGGACTATAGTTCAGTGACATAGAATTATTGTTTGGATCTGTGTGGGCCATAACAGGCCTGGTATGTTAACATTTACTTGGCGGCAAACCTACACAATTTGATCGAATACCGTAGTATTAAAATACGCAACTGTAAACTANCATAGCAGTATTAAAATACGCAACTGTAGTCTGTTTTTCGTACAGAGGAATTAAATTTGACAATGTTATTTTATTTGGCATGTGAATATTTTTAAATGATGTTCCACTAAGTGTAACATTTAAGTCTTAATGTACCTATAGATTAATTTTGGTATAGATTACTTATAATTAATTAAAATAATATAAGTTTTAATATTATTTTTACAAATAAATAAAAATGTATAAATATTTAATTATTTAAAAAATGTTTGTTTATTATTAATATTCTAAACGTCTAGTGACTCGTTAAAAATATCTATACTATTCGGTATTGCACCAATTTAATTCATTATAATAATTTACAGGGAAACTGTGTCATACGTCCGGTAGCATTCAAACCAGGTTCAATGCGATTTACTGACAACGGTGAAAGATATGGCTCTACGCCTATACTGGCCAGATCATCTCACAGGAATCTCTACGGCAGTAAGTTCTTATTTCTGCTTAACGATTAATGATTAAATAACTTAATTATTGTTACGATGGGCATATTTAAAAAAAAAAACGTTCTTGAGTAGCACAAAAATAAATATAAAAACTTAAAAAAATAACAATAACAACAAAACACTTTTTTTGCACTTTATTTACAACTATACACTCCGGTTACATAAAAAAAATCCTTCTCATGTAATGTCCGGAATAGTTTATATAAGATATAGAACCTTCTAAAAGGTACGCGCATAGAAAATCAAAAAATTTCACCCAGTGTACTCTTCTCGAGATTATTCTATTATTGCTCGTTTGTNTCTCATGTAATGTCCGGAATAGTTTATATAAGATATAGAACCTTCTAAAAGGTACGCGCATAGAAAATCAAAAAATTTCACCCGGTGTACTCTTCTCGAGATTATTCTATTATTGCTCGTTTGCCCCTTTATCTTCTCCGTCACAATATTTATTGTGCTTTTGTCCACTTACAAGCAAAACAATACACTACAGTTAAAACACGATAAATATGTAATTTGTAGTGCTCGTGGTGATCAGTAACATTATAAAAAATTGAGTATTGTTCTTACGAGTACTACGTTAAAATGTTTAAACATCAATAATTTCGATGACAACGAATTTTAATCTGTTGATTTTATTTAAAGGCACAAACGAACTTCATCATCAATCCCTGAAACCGAACATGGTATCTTCAGGCACGTTAGATCGTAAGTTACGTTCAGTTTCCCCAATGGTAATGTCGTCATTGCCAGTACAGACTAATTATAAATTTCGTCTGGGCCCATCGGAAGATTTCAAATCATCCTCATCTTATAGTTCCTACAGAGATTATCGACCCAGGTAAATAAATAATAATAATAATAATAACAGTATGACAATATATTCATTCTGTTTGTTACTTAGTTCTCAATCCTTCTCGAGACTTAATAAACGCTGTTCAGCATCAGAAGGTTCAGCTAGTTTGTTGGACTTAACACCATCACCATCAGAATCTACCATGTTGTCAGAAATGGAAACAGCTCTGAAAGATAGAGACCGTGAATTAAGACATCTACGGCAAACTATGGAACACAACGAGCATGTAATTTTTAGAGTTTATCAAGAAAAAGAGAACGCTTGGGAAAGAGAATTGCGAAGGATCAAGACAATGGGTGATAATAGAATAAAATCAGCTGCTCAAAAATCTTTAAAGTTGGAACAAATGTTAATGAAACAAACTTATAAGGTATAATAGTTTAGTAAAATTTAAGCATTACTTTACGTGTTACTTTTTATAATAATAGTTACAAGATGATAAGAGACGTTTGCAAGATGAAAATGACCGTATTACGTCTGAGGCGGCAGACCTGAGAAAAGAAGTAGAAGAGTTAAAAAAACGACTGGAAGAGACTGAATGGGGACTCTGTCAAAAATCTGGAGAACTCTCACACATCAAATCGCAACTTAAAGACACACAGGTAAGTGTAAAAAATGTGGAAAATTAGGTGAAAGAACTATTTAAATATTTTTTATATTTCCTTTTAAACAGAATGATCTAACGACTAAAGGTCATGAAGTAATTGCGCTAAAATCAGAAATCAGGGAACTTTTGCAAAAACTTGAAACTAAAGAACGTGGAGTTCAGGAATTTCAAACTAAAGATCCCAACGAGATAAATGAAGACGACAAACAGTTATCATCAGACAAACTCTACTTTTTAATACGACAACTCAACGAGCAAGTAAGTATCTTAACAGAAAAACACAAATTTGATTAATTCACAAATACTTTTTCTATTAGGTGGAAAACGAATTAAGTAATTATAAGTTGTCTAAGTGCAGCACCGAAGATCTATCTTTATTTCCGAAAAAAGAAATAGAGTTAGATCCATGGGACCAAATTAAAGAATTAGAGTATCATACGTCGAAATTAATTCAGCTATTGAACGAAGAAAGGAAAAATTGGGATCAAGAAAGACTTAAGTGGTTTCAAGAGAAAGAGAAAGTTTTGTGTTACCAAAGGCAGCTTCAAATGAATTATGTACAAATGTTCAGACGGACTCAAGCTTTTGAGACGCAAATTGAAAACCTTACCGTTCAAATGAACGTGTGTACCGATCATTGTGCATCCGGTAAATCTAGAAAGCCTACTGTGAAAGCAATAAACGCTATTAAACTTTGAGCACAACAGTATTTTTTTTAAATAATATAAAGATATTACCATTTATTTTAAATACATTTTTTTTTAAACTATAAGATTTAACAAATGTGTCATGAGCTACATAATACATTGTAAGTTCAAATAAAAGTAATCATGTTGTGAATTAATAGAGTGCAAATTGTATTTAAATTTTTTTATGATGATTTTATTAATTTAATATTATTATTAAAATTATTATTATATTGATATTATGTACCTATAATATATAATAAAGTCTATTTTTTAATGTTAAATAAATTATTCATTTTTCACTTATGTAAAATAAAATAAAGGAGACATTTATTGACAATTCAGGTGACCAAAGGAATACACAAAATTCTAGCAATTCATATGATTTTCCTCTGTTATCTAATTTATAACTAAATGCGTTTATTAATGCAGCGTATTTCAACACTGCATTAATCCTCTAAAACTGACAAATAAACATCATATGCATAATTAAAGTGAGATATATACTTATTGACTTGACTACATTTACAAAAATTTATTCAATATTTGAACGTTTCCTTCTTCCAACTAGATTAATTCTTCCACTATGTAATCTTAGTATCGAGAGTTGGCTGAATTGTGATGCGACGAAATAACATTTTGTTGATTTTGAAGACTGGCTAAACACAAAAGTCCGAAAACAGAAACAATTTCACTTCGTTATAGTTGAACGTTTTTCACCTTTAATATTCAAATTATTGGTTTAAATGTATGATTTAATAAATAATCAATAGTTACTCATGGTTAAATATTTAATACCTATAAAATATAAACAAAGATAAAAATATATTATAAAAATATTTTAATTAATGATCAATGTGGTTAATATTATTAAAATAATTATCAAATAAATTTTAATTGAATGATGAGCCAAACAAATTTTCTTCAAAGCTTCTCAGTATTACTTAATTTGAAAAATATTCTAAATCTCAATTAAATTGAAAAAATGACCAAGTCAAAAAGAGTAAGAATTGTGAATAGATTTTTTGTATTTTGCAACAATTAAAAGAACTGGTTTGAATAAAACGCATATTAACATTATATAGAATGTTCAGTAAGTAAGGAAACGGGTTTCTATTGTTCTCATTTTTTATAACAATTGACCTGTTTTCTTACTTACTGAACACCCTGTATTTAGCACAGATAATAGTATGTTGATTTCCAAATACGTGCACGTGATTATTTAGTATTTTTTGTGGATTTTTTGACTATCGATAATAACACGGGTTTATGAAATGTTAGTCGATATAGTTATCTTGTGGAGCAAAATTCGACGCCTGTACAGTTGTCCCATTAATATTATCACCTATTTTTAAAGTATTTATTACATTTATTATTTTATACACACTGTATAAAAAGAAATATTTTTATTAATAAAAATGTATTCAAAACAAATAAGAGATATTTTTTCAAAAAAATCTAAAATATGTGTTTAATATGCGATAACAAAAATTATGAGCAAAAAAAAACAGTCGTTTTTCATGAACATTTTTTGTGCCCCTTCCATTATTAAATTTCTAAATACGTCATTATTTTTGAGTTAAATATTTTCAATACATTTTAGTTTTGATCATAAAAAAACCCCAGCACATAAAAAGATATCTGACAGTGATTAAAATCACTATAATAAAAAACACTTCGATGCAAATCTGTAGATAATGTTTCATTTTAAAAAATTAATGGATTATTCCAAAAGCTACATGACCTCCTATTTCCTTATATATATATCATGATTACAAGTTTTATGATTTTTAAGTGTAATATATAAATAGTACTTATCTTAAAACAAATATAATGATACATATATTTTTCAAAAAGTGATAGCATTATAAAGTTAAAAACATAAAAAAGAATTTTTTTACAAAAATCGTATTTTTTATTAATTTTAATGTTTGTTTTCGCCGTGAAAACAAATTAAAGTCAGAAATTATTTTTTTTTCATATAAAAAAATATTATATAAATTTTAGTTTAATATATATATATAAGGGTCAGTATTTCCTGAACACTTCCAAAAATTAAGTTGAAAAAGTTCTACTTTCTATATGTATTTTTAAGTTTTGAACGCCTCTTTTATATAGGTAAATGGTCCGATTTTATAAAAAATTATTTCGAATGAAAGATGTAAATAAATATTACTTCTCATGAAAAAATTGTATTGATTCATACATTTTTTAAAAAATTATATAAAAATAAAGTTAAACATGTAATATATAAAATCAATAATTTTAACACAAAAATAACATTCGGTAGTCATTATCACCATTAAGACAAAATAAAGTCCGAATATTTTGTTTCGCGAGGCTAAAAAATTGAAAGGATACAGCACAAAAATTCAAAACTAAGTATATCTCCGTAAGTTTCTTTGTCCTGTATGCCGATGCAATATTCTTAATTCAAGACAAATTAAATTAAATTAAGGATATAATGTCTGTTGGATTAACTATCCAATACGCATAGGCTTATACAAATATTGTTAATAACTTAGTATAATATTTAGTTACTACCTTTACTTTTGTCTGACTGCGCAATGCCTATTAAAAAATTTTTATAGACAATCAGAAAAAAAAAACCAGCACAGGGGGGTCGCGGCACAGTGGTGACGTGGCATAGTTGGATCAAGTATAATGATATCTGACAGTGATTAAAATCACTATCAAAAAAAAACGCTTCGATGCAAATCTTTAGATAGTGTTTAATTTTAAAAAATTGGTGGATTATTCCAAAAGCTTCATAAACTGCTAGTTCCTTATTAATATCCTAATTAAGATAAAGTATGTCGAATGAAAAAGGGATTATTAAAAAATATTATTTCTTATAAAAAAATAATGTTGATCCATACACTTTTAAATATGTCATAGTATTATAAAGTTAAATATGTAAAAAATAAAATCGAGAATTTTCACATAATAATAGCATTTGGTAGCCATTCTCACTGTGAAGATAAAATAAAGTCCGAAATTTTTTTTTTTCAAATTAAAGTATATTACATAAGCTTTAATTTAAGATATATATAAAAGTGTCAGACCTTCCGGAACACTTTCAAAAGTTAAGTTGAAAAAGTTCTACTTTCTATATGCATTTTTATGTTTTGAATCCCCCCTGTATTTAGGGAAATGGTCCGATTTAAAAAAACAGTATGTCGAATGAAAGATCTATATAAATACTACTTCTCATAAAAAAATTGTAATGATTCATACATTTTTCAAAAAGTTATAGCATAATAAAGTTAAAAATGGAAAATACAAAATCGAAAATTTTCACACAAAAATAGCATTCGGTAGCCATTTTCACCATGAAGATAAGATAAAGTCCGAAATTTTTTTTTTTCATGATAAAGCATATTACATTAGCTTTAATTTAAGATATATATAAAAGTGTCAGACCTTCCGGAACATTTTCAAAATTTAAGTTAAAAAAATTAATTTTTTGTGAAAAAGTTGTCATTTTAAATCCCCCCTTGTGGGCAGGTTAAGGGTTAAATTTATGAAAAAAATATACCAAATGAAAGGTAATGATATTATGCATCTATATAAAAAAGAATTATATTGATATGTTTATTTTTGAAAAAGTTATGGCACTTTTAAGTAAAAAAAATTGAAAAAATTTCGAAAATTAGCGATTTTTAAATTTGTAATTTTGTAATCCCTTTTACGGGGAACGAGGGAATTTTTTTCAATTTTTAAGGGTAATGTCTTCGACTAGATACGATTTGTGATCTTTTGACGTATCATTGAAAGAAATCGGTTCGGTGAGAGCTGAGAAAAAGTGGCAACAGACACAAAAAAAAAACACATCTTAGTAAAACCAATACCTTCTCAGCTTCGCATCGAAGCTAATAAGGGCATAACATATATTAGCTAGTTATGTTACATATTATTATTTAATAAACAAATCAATTTAAATTAAAAAGATTCACCAAATAATATTTCACTTCAAATCTTCAAAGTATAATATAATTTGAAAAATATTCTAAATTGAAATAACCAAGTCCCAGAGGGTAATAATTTTGAGTAGAGTGTCATATGGATATTTTAAATCTACCAAAGGAACTGGTTTAAAAAGAAAAAATTGGCTGTTTATAGATAGAGAGTGAAATCCAATGATACCTAGTATAATATTAAAAGCAGAGATTTTTAACATCAATTGGCTAATTGTGATAGAAGCTCTGCACCTAGGAGTTATTTTTACATCAGTAAAATAATAAAATTTTGTCTCAAAAATAAATTAATTATTTAATGTCTTTAAAAAGGAACCCCTATTTTAGTGATATTATATGCTAATATTATAGGAAATAACTTAAAATAAAAATATTAAGAAAAATAAAACAAAATTAAGTTTAAATGTCAATTCATTATCAATAAATTTCAATAACATCACACTAATTTTATTTAATTTAATCCAAAAGCTATTCCAAGTTACAAGTTAAAAACTATAATTTTATGTAACGTTATTTAAAAAGTAATATTGTTGAAGGAAACAATATTATAAGACTTTTACAACAATAATATTATAATATATATCAATATTTATCATAATAATTAATGTTTAAAGTTTAAAATCTAAAAAACTAAAAAAAACCTCTAAAAACTTTGGAATTGTGTTTTTTTTTTAATCAAATTTTACGTAGTTAGATTTTTAAACAAATCACATGATTTCGACTATGAGTCTTTGGCTTACAGCATAGAGGGCTGTATACACAGTACTTCATTTATAAAAAAATATAAGTCATCACTCCAATTTTATAACTATATTAGGAAAAATAAATCGCAGCCACAAAAAGAAACACATAGTAAAAAATATTAACATGAATAGAAATTTCTTCTCATGAGGGGAGACTACAGTTATGGTATCCTTGATATATATGGAAGTTAATGAATCTAAATGAGATAAAATTAAATGATTTAAACATTTTTCTAACTCCAAAAAAATGCAAAAAGTAAGTACCACAGGCGGATTTGAACCTGGTTCCCTAACCGAAAAAGATTCAAGTGTTACCGCTTCGGCAACTCTTCGTCGTATTTGTTTTAAAATAAAATTGGCAATATTAGCTAATTCAAATTTTTAAGTTACATTTTCGACTTTAAAAATGCAAAAAAAATTAAATAAGTTTAGCTTCTTATGTCTTATGAACTTTATTCTAAATAATAATATAAGCTTTAATTTAAGATTAAATAAAAATGTCAATATTTCCG